GCCTCGACCACTACCACCACCCCTCATGCTATGAAGTGAATCCAGGGCTGTGTGGATACTAGAAAAACAGTCTACCAATGAACTACATGCCTTCTCCATAAATGCTTTAAGTGTTACATGGATAAAATTTACATACAACTTAAAATATTTTAGCAAAAAAAAAAAAAAAGCTCAAAACACTTCTTTCTTCCTACCCCTTCAATAGCCTAAAACACTCTTATAAGTTGTTATTTCCTATTATAAGAAAAGTGACAAAGAATTCCTGTTATTTTGAGTAGATACATTGGTTTTACACTCAACTTATTCAGAATAGCATCCAAGGTTCAAACGAGGTCAACATGCATAATTTTTCAAACAAAAATTTATTTTTCCTCAAAAACTAATTTGAGTCTAGTCTATGTACAACAAGCAGGAAGAAAAAATGAAACTGAATAAACCAATGAAAAATCTTTCAACTTGGACAATTCCATTTGTCTTGAAGTTATTTCAAAAAGAAAAGACAACCTTTGAGGTCTAGCAAGGTATCCTGGTGATGGAGCCCTTGCCTGGCAGATATGAGGCACTACGTTTTACTCTTAGTACTTTGGGAGGTATAAAATTAAGAAAAAAACACTGGGTGTGGTGGCACACGCCTTTAATCCCAGCTCTGGAGATGCAGGGACAATTCCATTTGTCTTGAAGTTATTTCAAAAAGAAAAGACAACCTTTGAGGTCTAGCAAGGTATCCTGGTGATGGAGCCCTTGCCTGGCAGATATGAGGCACTACGTTTTACTCTTAGTACTTTGGGAGGTATAAAATTAAGAAAAAAACACTGTGTGTGGTGGCACACGCCTTTAATCCCAGCTCTGGAGATGCAGAGGGAGGTGGATCTCTGTGAGCTCAAGACCAGCCAGCTGGAGCTACAGGGAGACCCTATTTTAAATTTAAAAAAAAAAAAGATAATTTTTATTTATTATAGAATTTTGTGTTTATTATAAGTACAATGCAGGCTGAAGGTCCAAAATGTTGTAGTTTAATTTTTTGTTCTCCATAATTTTACTCTTAGTACTTAGGGAGGTATAAAATTAAGAAAAAAACACTGGGTGTGGTGGCACACGCCTTTAATCCCAGCTCTGGAGATGCAAAGGGAGGTGGATCTCTGTGAGCTCAAGACCAGCCAGCTGGAGCTACAGAGAGACCCTATCTTAAATAAAAAAAAAAAAAGATAAAAATTTTTTTATTTTATAGAATTTTGTGTTTATTATAAGAACAATGTAGGCTGAAGGTCCAAAATGTTGTAGTTTAATTTTTTGTTCTCCATAATCATCAATACTGACAAGATATTTTTTCCTAAAATCTTCCTCTAGCCAGGTATGGTGCCTCACACTTACAATCTCTACAATCTCCCGATCAGAAGTTCAAGGTCATCCTTGACTACATAGGAAGTTTGAAGCCACCTGGGCTACATGAGACCTTGTCTCAAAATCACAAAACAAAAACCAACAAAAGAAATCCTCTATTAATGCTAAAATAGAAATAGATCTATAGTCTCAGCTTTTTGCTGTCTTTAAATACTAATGTTTCCAAATGTCACTTTAACAATTAAAAATATTTGGCAATAGTTTCACTTGGAACATAGGCTCCAATTAAATAATTCAGACATATTGACAAGCAGCTGAGCAACATCAAGAGAAAATACTACCCATGATCCTCTGAGGAACTCTTAGAGCAATGGGGGACCTGGGCCCTGGTAAACCCACCATATGTGATGTGTAGACTGGTTTCCCCATCACATCCAGCCCAGTCAGACATGGGCACTTGGCTTGGGTGGAGCCCCAGCGCTGCAGGGCAGATTCCAGTGCAGGTGGCCAGTTACAGATGACTTCCAGTGGCTCTCCCTTCACAGGTGTCATCTGACGACCCTCAGGTTTTGGCTGGTTGGGATCTGGCTGAGGTACTGTACCAAAAAGTTGAGAAGATGAAGTAAGTTCAAGTACCAACTAACACAACTCAAACCGCAAATACATCCCCTTTTCTCCACATAGTCATCTGGTGTGAGCCTGCTTTGAAGAAAAAAAAGTACAAAGTGTGGTAAGACACTACAAACTGGGTTGCTTTTTTTTTTTTAAACTTACTCAGCTTCAGGCACTCATCCTAATAGTATATTCTATTTTTGTTTGTCTGTCTGAAACAGCATCACATGTTGCCCAGACTGACTTTGAAACTTCAATGTACCTGAGGCTGACCTTAAACTCTTGATCCTCTTATCTCCACCTTCCAGCAAAGACCACCAAACCAAGCCCAACAAAACATTCTTTGGGAGCTACTGTCAACCATCCCTCAAGAAGACCACTCCTTCCTTAGTTCTGTGCATCATGTTATAGTCTCTTTTTTTTTGAGACAAGGTCTCTCTCTGTACCTCAGATTAACCTGAAACACAATTCCCCTACCTCTGCCTCTTGAGTGCTGGGATACTGGCATATACTACCATACTAAGGTACTCTGCCCTTACCAAGGCACTGATGATCCTTGGGGCTTCCATTATCCTCCCACAGAGAGTAACAGCTTCCTATGGAGGGATGGTTCCTAGTCCCTTTACTGCTGACAATGCCCAAAACAAGAAGGCTGTCCAACTGTGTTAAGTGAACAAACTGGGGAGAGGGTGAGAAGGAGAGGGAAAGAGAATGAAAACTATTAAGAGTAATTCCAAGAATCGGAGGCAAATATGCCACACCCTTTCATTCAGATAAAACTAGTTTTCCAGGGCTGGAGAGATGACTCAGCATTTAAAAGCACTGGCTGCTTTTGTAAAGGACCTGGGTTCACTTCCCAGTACCCACATGGTGGCTAACAACAGGATGTAACTCCAGTTCCAGGGGAATTCAACACCATCTTCTGAATTTCACAGGCAATGCATGAACGGGTGCACTAAGATTCATACAAGCAAAATACACATACACATAAAATAAAAATAAGTAAATTTAAAAAAAAATTTTTTTTTTTGTCCTTTTGAGACGGGGCTCCCTGACGCACAACTCACTATGTAGACCAGGCTGGCCTCGAACTTAGAGAGATCTGTCTCTGCCTCCTGGGATTAAAGGTATGTGCCACCACACCCAGTCAAAAAAAATTTTTTAAATCAGTCTTCCAGGGGACATGGTTGCACATGCCTTTATTCCCAGCACTTGGGAGGCAGAGGCAGGCAGATCTCTGAGATTAAGGCCAACCTAGCCCAGGCCAGCTGATGCTGTCTCAAAAAGAGAAAAAAGAGTTTTCCAAGATTTTCTATAGTGAGCAAGTATTCCTCAAATAATTTTTTAAATCCCACATTTTCATAGAAGTTTCAATAATTTACACATAAAACAAAAAGTCAACTGTTTACTGTGTACCAATCCTGTGCATAGAATATGATAAATTGAGAACGTAAACAACCTGGGTTTAGTGGCCCACCACTGTAATCCCAGAAATCAGGAGGCAGAAGCAGGAGGACCTCAAGTTTAAAGTCTGTCTGGACATACAGCAAGAATCATCTTAAAAAATAAAAATAAAAACAAGGGCTGGAGAGATGGCTCAGCAGTTAAAAACACTGGATGTTCTTGCAGAAAACCCGGGTTTGAATCCCAGCACCCATGTGGCAGCTAACAATTGACTGTAACTCTTCTGTCCTCCACAGGCACTGCACGGTATGGGTGCACTTATACACATGCAGGCAATACACTCATACAAACAAAATAAAATAGTAAAATATTTTTAAAAAATAAATTAAAACAAAAACAAAATACTTCGAGAAAACAAGTACTGCACACACAGCTACAGAGTATCCTAGGGACACACAGCAAAACCAGGACAACATGGAAGTAGATGATTCCACACTCAGGGAGGGCAGGAGGGGCATGTCACCACCTGGAGGAAGCAGTGCCTGAGCTGAGTTAAAAGGCTGGGTAGGAATTTGCCAGGTGAAAAGGAGATGAGAGACAAAACACAGAAAGGACTTTTGAGACAGAGTTTCCCTGCTGCCCCAGCTGGCCTGGCACTCACAGTGATCCTCCTGCCTCAACCTCTGCCTCCTGAGTATTGGGATTGCAGGTATGTGCCACCACACCAGGCTTCTCTTTTTTTCCCTTAAGTTAGCACACAAAGTAATGGGTTTCATGACAGCATTTTCATACGTCTGTATCATTATACTTTGTTCTTGTTCATCTCCCTCCCCTCCTCCTCCCTCTCTTCCATCCCCCTCCCTCTCTCCCCCAAATAGTCCTCTATTGTGCTTTCATATCACACTTCTCTCTTACTCCTATCTCTGTTAAGATTTTCACTCTCAAGATGGGCAGGGTGGCACACACCTTTAGTCCCAGTTCTCAGAAGGCAGAAGTAGACAGCTCTCTGTGAGCTTAAAGCCAGCAAAAGTAAAGTAAGAACAAGAAATGATGAGGGAAGTTTATTTTAAGTAGGGTAAAGAAAAAAGAAAAGAATGTGAAGAATCTGAGCTATTCCAAAGAGCTAAGAGTAAGTTATACTGAGAGTAAGTGAAGTTGCATGAGAGAAAATATGCAGTATGTGTGTTTCTGTGCCTGGCTTATTTCACTTAGCATAAGGATCTCCAGTAGCATTCATTTATCTTGATTCATTTTTTCTACTGACATAAAACTCATTAAACGGGATGGAGAGCAGTTAAGAACATTTGTTACTCTTCCAGAGGACCCAAGTTCAGTACCCCACACCCATGCTGGGCAACTCCAGCTGCCCCTAACTTTAGCTCCAGAGGATCCAATGACCACTTTTGGCCTCCAGGGGTACACCCACACACACCTGACAAACACTCACAGATGTGGACACATAAATAAAAATGAATTTTGAAAATTTCATTAAACCATTTCACTCTGTAATTTGTTGCTGTAACATCTTACTACTCTTTCATTTTATTTCTTTTTTAAACTATCTTATTCATTATTTTTATTTTATGTGTATGAGTGTTATGCCTACATGTAGTAAGTGCCCCCATGTCGTGCAACACCCGAGGAGGACAGAAGAGGCTGTCAGATCCCCTGGAACTGGAGTTATGGACAGTTGTCAGCTGCCATGTAGATGTTGGGGTTCAAACCCAGATCTTCTGCAAGAACAAGTTAGTGTTCTTAAGTGCTGAGCCATCTCTCCAGCCCCATATATATTATTTCTAGACTCTAAATTTTTAAAAATTCTCAATAAATTGTTTCATTTTTATAAAAAGACTGAATACCCAGTAGGCAAGGCCTTCTGGCCATAAGTTACACCATCGCCATCCTCCACTAGGCTTCAAGGTGTATTATCGTACTTCCAAAAGATACTGCCACTAGTCAGATAAGCCCATTTACAATTAGCAAACTGATGTAGCTCTACTGCGTCAGTGCAGATTGTTGAAGTATGACTCCTATTACCCTTGACTTTCATTTTTGAATTCAAAGCACAGTGGTAGAAGGTATGGAGAGGCTGTTACTGACATGAGGACCTGAACCGTTACTGAAGTAAGACAGACATCTACATATAGTTCAATGTATTCAGTAACTCATCTCACCCTGGGATATGACCTTGGCATGAGGTGAGTCATGACCAGATCTCGTCTTCAGTGTGCCAGATTCATTACCATTTAGATGTGATTACAGCCCACTTCTAGGCTCAGGACAGACACCAAGTACAAACTCACTGGGCT